AACAACCAGATAAAGTAAACCAGATCCTAAAAAATAAAAAAGTATCATAAATTATTTTAAGATAGCATTTTGAAGGTAAAGTCAAAGAAATCAAAGAAAATCTTTTTTTTTTTTTTTTTTAAAAAAATGATCACACCACTGGAGTGCAGTGGTGTGATCATATCACTATGGCCTCGAACTCCTGGGCTCAAGGGATCCTCCCATATCAGCCTCCCAAGTAGCTCGGAATACAGGTGTGAGTCACCACACCCGGCTCAAAGAAAATCTTTTAGAAAGTGGGACAAGGAGGTAAAGAGACAATAGGAGAAACAAGGTAAGAGAACTAAAAGATCAGAGCAAAAAGTCCAATATCCGTCTAACAAGAGGTCAAGAAAGACAGAATAAAGACTATAATGGGGAAAAAAATTATCCAAGATGCAACACAGGAAAATGTCCCAGAAGAGGATAGGTATTTCCAGACTGAATGGATCTTCCGAGTACCCAGTATAATGAATAAAAAATGAGCTACATCAAGAGTGATCACTGTGAACTTTCAGAGCCCCAGGCTTCAGAGAAAAAAATTGTTTGTGTGCAAAGAAAAGGAAATCGGAATGTTACTAAACTTCTCGATGTAAACTTCTCATGCTAAAAGTCAATGAAAAAAACGTCCTCAAAATTCTGTAGGGAAATGATTTTCAATTCAGTTATATATTCAAAGAGATTATGAATTAAATGTGAGAGTAGAATAAAAATAATTTCAAAATTGACCTCCCATGCATCTTTTCATAGGAAGCTAGTGGGGGAGCTTCCGTTTTACTCCATCAAAGTACGGGAGCAAACTCAGAAAGAGGAAGGCATGGGGCCCAGGAAACAGGAGTTCCAGCACAGACAGGGTGAGGTGTTCCAGGACGGCGGGGACTACTGTGTTTCATTCTAAGTCTTTGGTTCTATTTGACTTTTGAACTATGTGCCTCTATGACTCTGACAAAAAAAAAAAAAAGAAGTTTAATTAAGAAAAAAATGGTTGGAACACTTATTAAGTCCAGTTGCCAGACAAAAGAGGGGAGGAGATGAGTGGAAGGGATTTCTGGGAACTGTGTGCTCTGGGCAGAAGCGGCTCAGGAGCAAAGAGAGAAGCAGGAAGGCACGAGGGCGCGCTCACGTGTGCACGGGCGCGCTGGGAAGAAGGAGCTCTGAATCCTTCCCTACGTGGGCTCATTTCCCTCGGGATGCAGGCGGCCTCCTGGGGATGATGGAGACGATGATTTTAGGACCTTCCAGCTCTGACTGCTTCACTCCAGGGCAAAACCTGGTGCGAAGGAGGTCACCGTAAGTGGCTTGTGTCACAGAAGAAGCAAGGCTCTGGTGAGGAGTGACGGGGAACGCAGCAAACAGTCCCGAGAAAGTGTTGGTGGAGTCACCGGAGTTTGTTCACTTGCCATCCCCCCTCTCTCTCCCCGTCAGTACTGCATCGCGCGTGCCCTCTCTGCTTGCCAGTCGGGTCTGAAGACAGAGTCTACGATGATGGGTCCCTGCCCGGTTCCACCCAGGGGATTATAGAGAAAGGCCCGCCCCACCCTTTTGACAAAATGCAGCATGGTCGTCTGAGTGCTTTGGGGAAGAAAGCAGAAGGCTCTGGACCTTCCCTGGGCCCTTACTACATGCCGGGCACGCCACGCACATTTTCTTACCCCGGCTGCCCGCTGCCTTACATGAGTGACACGATTCTCCACCTTTCTCAGATGAGGAAATCGACTGCCAAGCAAAGAAATGAGGCTTTTTTGGTGCCTGTCTGCTTGACCTCAAACTCCCCAAGACTGAGAAATGGCCATAGCAAAAGCACAGGGACAAACGTAAGTCAAGGAGAGAACCGGCTTGTAGTGTGGCAGTCACACTCCCCTAACGTGTCCAGCATGGGAGTTGCTTTTACTCCAGATTCATCTGCCCTTTGCCAGGATCTGGGACCTTCCACCTCTCTCTGCGCTCTCTTGTCAGTCTAAATAAGAGTCACTAGACTTTGCCCTTTAATACTTTAGATGGGCCGTGTGAGCGTCTACGAGGCACAGAGGAGTGTTCCCCGATTTTGTCGGCACGGCTTCCACAGCCCACCTTTCTGCCGTCCCCGTGAGGGCTGCAGCCTGGCATGTCAGAGCCCAGCTCCACCCTCTGCCCTCCTGCCCTTCCCAACAGGGTCCTGCAGGGGCAGACTGGACTAGTCATCCACTGCCCCTAGGCTCTTTGGAGCAAGGAATGTGCTCCCTTAGAGCTGGAGGCAAAGACACAGGGCATGTGAGCGTGTCATTCAAGGGCCCCCAGGCTGGGGACAGAGCACAGAGGGCAGGCGTGTGGGAATCGGGTAGCACCAAGGCCTTCATTTACTCACACTGCTTTCCCACTGCATCCCACTACCACTTACTAACAGCTCCCATTAATTGAGTGCTTATTATGTGCTCGCTACTTTCTCACTTAACTGTTACTAGCTGCATTGACAGACGAGCAATGTGAGGCCAGTGAGGCTGAGAACCCCGACCAAGCCTACCCAGTCGGCAGGCATGGAGCTGGAGTTTCCACTTCGAATCCTCTTCCGTCCCTTGTTGCCTAACTTTAACTTTTTAAATCCTAGACCCAGTTCCTTCTTTAGCAATCTCTGATAAGAATGAGCTACAATTCAAGAATATGAGAACTAAAATATTTTCAAGGTTACCAAAAAGATACATAAGCAATAAATTCACACATGTTAGCAATTCCAATAAAGGGAATTCACAACTGGGAGGAGATTACCATAATTCCATTCATGTGTGATAGGTTTTCTCTTTTTTTGCCTATTGCAGATAATGATAATATCTATTATATATATCATTAATATGAGAAAATAAATGTTTTTGTAAGTTTTGTGTAATTATAACATTAAACTCTGATCATGCTTTTTCAATCTCTGATTGCAGGGGATCATTTCCTAACCTAAAATAAGTGCAAAAGGACGTTTCCCCCCCACTAACTTTGGAAAAGAGTTCGCCCCTGAGTTATCGGGTGCCTATCTCAAACTGGAAAAGCATCCCCAAAAATGATTCTGTCACCAACATTTGTCTTTGCCTCCCCGTTTCCTTTCAGAGACATTGCTTTTGCTGATTAACCTCACCCCTACCTTTTTTCTGCTCCCCTACAAGAACGTAAACACCTGGCATTTCTCTATAGATGAACATTCCCCTGAAAATTAAACCAAAGAGGAACAGACAGAGCCGATTCTTAAGGCTCCATTGCCTGTTTTATTTTTTTAACGGCTGCTCCCTTGTGTGTATGTTAAGCCAGGTACCACTGCCTGAGTGAGAAATGCCTCCATCAGTCAAAAATCGATGGAGAAATGTATAATAAAAGGGCTTTCAAACCAGGTTTCCTGGAGTCCTTGGGGAATCCAAGGTGATCATCTGGAGGGTGTGAGGGACAACGGCTCTGGGCACATGTGTGTGACGAGAGAAGGGCTGAGCAGGCTTCAGGTGGAGGCAGGTCTACTTTTCTATTGGTACCATATAAGGTTGTGTGGGAATTGAAATGTTTGACAGCTACAAAGAAGTTTGAAAGCTGCTGTATAGAGAACTGAAGACCCTCCCAGAAGTTTGGAACAGAATTGTCTCCTCAACTCTAAAACAAGGCTAATATCCTCAACTAGCACCTGGCATTATAGTGAGAAGTAATTATAAAATGATCTTGCAAAGTGAGGGTGGCAAGGAAAGCGGCACGTCAACGATGGCAATGACACGACCGGGGTCATGACGAGGGAAGTGCTGGGGGCGGCGATTCCACCTGATGGCATCCTCCTGAACGCCTCAGGTGGAGCTCGGCCACAGCCACAGAGGGACCCTGGCTGTCGAACTGGGTCAGGCTTGCACTAGCATAGAAGACACAAGGGTGAGAGCCTGGTGGGTCAGGGACGACTGCCATCAAATATTTGGCTTTGCTTTAAAAATCAACTCCCTCCCCCTTCTTTTATAACTATGTTCTATTAAAGCCTACTTGCTTGCTGGACAACCACCCTTTGAGACTCACATTGTATGCATAAAAAAAATCGTCAGATAATACCACCAGCTGCACTTCTCTTAGAGTATTATTAATGCTTCCTTTTTATGAAAATTATGGATGTTTTAGACTTATTTTCTAAACTCCAAATTCTTGAAAAACAAGTCTAGTTTCATTTGTCTCTTTGTCCCTGCCCGAGGGGTACCTAACGCAGAACCTTGCTTATGGAGCAGGCACTCAATCAGTGTTTTTAAATAAATGGTTCCCTGTCCCATTACCTGGAAATTGGTCCACTGCCCATCAAAATGGATATGCATGGATTTTAAATTACTCTTAATCCAACTAGGTTTTAATTGTGTTTTCTATTCTTGCCTTCTGTCCAGACCACCTAATAAAAACCTCACACGGGTGGCTCAGAAGAGCAGCTTTCTTGGTATGGAGAGACAAGTAAGGATGAACAGCCTCTGCTATGCCCATTTTCCCTTCATCTGGATCATGGGAGAGTTGTGGAAACAATGCACAAAATATTGTGGCAAACGGGCTAGTGCGGTACAGTGAGCATCTAAGGTGTACTGACCACCCATCCAGCCGGGTTTCCCCACTCTGCTCCAGGCATCTTCAACAAATATAAAAGCTCAGGTACCCAGAAGTCACCTGGTGGCTGATGTGTCACCCTTCCGGGCATTTATTTCCAGCTTACAACTGTTCTGTAAAAATACACATTGTCTGATATAAGGTCTGCTAGTCTGCTCTGAAGCCTGCTGCTGCTGCTGACAATGACGATGATGATGATAATGAGGACAGCAGTAAAGTCTGTGGGACACGCTGTGGCAGGCACTGGGCTGAGCTCCTCATGCACAGTATCTCATTTAAACTTCACTACTGCCTTATAAGGTAGTACTATTATGACTTCCATTTAACACAGGTCGGACCACACACCACACACTCAGCAAGGTAAAGTCACTTGACCAAGGACTCAGGGCTTCTATTGCCAAGGTGGTACTTACCTGGGAAGTATAGAGTTAGGTGGCCTGGATTTTGCAGGGGATGCAACTTTTGGTTCTGGCCCAGAGCTCCCTGAAGATCCTGGCAGAGAATCCTGCGCTGGCCCGGATGGGTTTGGAAGTATTTCCCTTGTGGAAGTCAGGAGATGCTCTTTATCTTTAACTTCTTTTTCCCGGGACTTGGCTTTGTGTTCTGCCAGGAGGAGGTCAAATTGCTTTTTCCGGCCCGGGACTGCCCTCCGATGGCTTAGCGAATGTGTCTAAGGAGAAGAGAGATGAAAAGCACAGCTTCTTTGATCAGCACATAAACCTGCTTCCCCAGGCCCTCCATTTCAGAAATAGCAATTCATGGGAATTTAGAGGTGCTTGAAAAGTCAACTTCAAGGCAACAGCTCCTGCTCTGTGGCTAGGAAGAGGCAGAGACCACACGAACGCAACCATGCCCTACACTCCTGGTGTTAAGAAGCCAAAGCTTCCTCCAAAAAATGGCATAGGATGAAGAGCTTCAGTGCAGAACCCATGAAAACCTCTCTGATGAAAGGCAACTGCGAGGGAATGCTAGAGTTAATCCAGGTGCAGGTGGGAGGCTCGATTCGGCCCAGACAAACAGAGCCACCAAGCAGAGAGGGCCATAGCCTCGATCCCAGGAAGCACTAGCAGTTCAGTATGAAATATGGGGCTTTGGGCTACCCAATGGCGGCCGCCTTGGGTCAGCTGTTCCCCTGGCCACCCCGGTGTGGCTGGATCAGGGGCGCGGCATATCATCCTCCCCTCCAGGGCTGCCTTTCAGGGCGCTGCCGCCGCCGCCGCTGCTCCTGCATACATTAAAACGTAGCAGGCTTTAGAACCGCCTGTGAGTGCCTATAAATACAATTTACTGTCTGGCCTCACAAGTAACAGGGGAAGCCTAGTTTTTTTTTTTTCCTTCTTAAAAAGCCAGCCAGCTTGAGGCAGGCACTCTGCTACCATGGACTAGAAGAAAGCATTTCCCTTACAAAGAACAGCTGGGGGTCATGTCGAGGTTCCACACCCTGCCGTGTGCAGAGAGTGGCATGCAAACATTTCGACAAAGGCCCCAGTGAGAGCAGGAAGTATTTTTTATGGAAAGAGAAATACCTTGCAGGTGAGGGATCTTGTGCAAGGTTTCTTTGTCTCGGGATCCAATACTCCACAGTGTTTATTTGGGTCAAATTCTCTCTCTGGTTTAAGAAACAAACAAAAAATATAAGAAAAAAGGAGACTAAATAGGATTTGGCATTAAGACTACATTTAAAAAAAAATGCACATTTGCACCAACAAGTGAGACATTGTCAGGCAATCTGTTTTTTGTTTTTTTGTTTTTCGTTTTCAACCGGCTGCTAAAATGCTTCAAGAACCGCTCGGGGGAAATGGCGTTCCCCTCTGAACCCAGAGTCCCCCAGTCCAGCTTCGGTAGGGATGCCAACCGCAGCACGGGCGCAGGGAATAGGGTGGGAGCGGGCACCGGAAGGGAAGGAAAGAGCCGTGCTGCTCTTAACGCTTTATTTCACTTGAAATGTTTCCACAGGTCCTTGGCATTTGGGCATAGCTGGCTGCAGACCAGGGAGAGCCACTTTCCCCCCAGGCTGCCCCAAGAGTGCATAGACCCCCGCCCCCACCCTGCCTTCCTGCTAGTTTTAGCCATTTAAGTGGGAGATTATTCCTTGACATGTCAGTGCGACCTGACCTGCCTCTCTCAAGCTGTACAAAGCCTGTGGCACAGGCTTTCCACGAAGCCTTGCTGACCAGAAAAATCGTTCAGCTGATTTAGAAGCATTCCGGCAGTGTCACAGGCAGGGGCAGGGGAGAAGGCTGGGGGTGTGCTTGAAGGTGCAGAGAGGGCAGGGCCTGCTTATCTCACAGCTGCTCTGCTCCCACCCCCAGCCTGGGCCTGAAGCTCCACCTGGGAGTATGACAGGGTCGCCCTTGGGCTGTGCGGGGAGGCCAGGCTTTCCCAGGTCCTGTCTTCCAGACGGACTGTCCATGGCTCGCGTGAAGGTTATTTCTAAGGAACCTGTTCTCTCTATGCCCATCTTGGATCCTTTGCCCAGTCTGGGATGACAACCATGCTGTCCTCACCTGGAAAATGAGGGGACACGAGGCGATCTCTTAGGAATCCTTTAGGCTTTAAAGTTCCACCTCTCAGAGGGCCTGTGCCGTTTCTGGAAGGCACCAAGCGAACACCAGAGTCCTGCTGAGCAGGAGTGACACAGCTCCCTGGGCATGTGGGGAGACTGGCAGCAGTGTTGGTAGTGGCGGGGGTATTCAGAAACTTGGTGGCGTGTCCTTAACAGCTTTGAATGGCTGCAAACTCAAAAGGTTACCTAGCCGGAAAGCTGTTGGAAATTGGTGGAATAAACTCTGAGCATAATAAACAAATGTGTTCTGTTTTCGAAAGAAGGTTTGGGGGTCGTGGGGAGGTTGCAAAGGTGGTGCTGATGATGTGTGCAAGAAAGCCACTCTGATCCCCCAGACAGATTCCCTGGCTGGCTAGCAAGATGCTTCCCTCCCCTTTTTGCTTTTGTCTGCCTTTTATTTATTTATTTTTTAAGCTTCACTTTTAAGAAAAGAAAACTGCTAGGCTCTGAGATGCTCTTTTCCCCCCGAGCCCTGTCTGCCCAGCAAGAAGCAGGTGCCTGGGCGCCAGAGCCCAGGCTGCCGGGTGCGGCGTCCTTTCCCTTGGGTCCGTCAGAGTCGCGCTGGTGCCCAGCCCCACACCAGCACTTCATGTTGGCCTGGAGCCGAGCGGGTTGCTGGCTGGGGGTCAGAGCTGGCTGACAAATGTGAAAGCAAGATAGAACAAGCTAAAGGCCCACTGAGACAAGACAACCAACAAAATGCAAAAACAACAAGCAGCAAAAAACCCAAAAACCCAAAAACCCAAACAACTTCAGGTTGGGGTGTAGGCTGGAAGCCAAGGTCATCCTTCTGCTTCAACAAGGAGCCCTCGGCCTCTGGACGCTGTGCCCAGGCTACCGGTTTTCCACGGATGTGGCTGCCACCTCTGCAGGGTGAAACTGAACTTTCTACTCAGGAACAGAGCAGGAGTTGGAGGCACCAGCCCACAAAGTGAGGCCCCAAAAGTTCAAAGACAGCACCAGCCTCTACCTTCTCTCTGGATAGTGGGTGAACAGCACATGGTGAGATTTGCAGGGCACAATACCTGTTTCATTTGAATGCTTCAGGCCTGAGGTACTTTTAAGACAGAATTTTTTTGAAGAGTTATAAATGAAAGATAGAAAAACTAGAAATACAGATAAATAGGAAGTAGAACATAAGAATTGCCCACATTCCCTTGGTGCTTAAAAATCATGCTTACACCAGAGGACAGTTTCTCTCTCACAGGGTAGCTTTCACTGTATTTTACTTTTTCTGGCCACCATAGATAGTGCCCATGGTGTGTGAAGAAGTTATGAAGTTTATAGCCTCTTCTCATCTTTTGGAGAAAGCAAAACTGCCAGGTTTATTTCTACAACAGATCCAAAGCAAACATTATTCACATGGGGGCCTCTAATGGGCACCCATCACTTCAAAGAATGGCCATGGCACCCCAAGTGCCTGCTCAGAAAACCAGGGCAGAGACCCAAGAAAGACCCCCCAATACCCCATCTGCTCTGCCAGCCCCAGCGTTCCCCATTGGGAACTCCAACTGATTATGGGGGGAAGGCAATTGTAGAATCAACCTGGAAACCCACAAGGCCAAAGGACAAAGGTTGTGTGTCCCTGCGGAGCACAGTTGTTGACAGTGCTGTCCCCAGCATGCCTTGAGCCACTGAGGGTTGTCCAACTTCACAGCAGTGCAGCTTCTACGCAAGCCAGGGGTGATTCAGCCTGTCAGCACTGTATAGCTGCACAGAGCCACCTGCTATCAAAACCCTCAGAATCCACACACTGTAGGTTGGTGCAGAGCATCCTGTCTCCTGGGTCACTAGGGTAACTCCTGCTAAGCAGTGAACCAAGCCAGGGACTTCATCTGCTCTGGGAGTCAGAGACCCAGTTCTCCCTTGTATTTTTAGGTGGGGGCACTGTTTGCAGGTAAACTGCAAGTTCCCCTTAAAATGACGCAGACCTGCTTAATTATAAGAACATGTCACTCCTTGGTTACAGACGTGACTCACTTTCAGTCTAATCATGAGCCAGACTCTAATGACACTGACACATACCTGAAAGTCTCCTGTAAGGCTTGTTGCTGTTTTTGGTGCCATTTTGGTGTTTCTTGTCTATGGTAGCTGACAGAATTCCTTTGCCATTTAAGATCTTCTCTGGTGAAGGTGGCACTGACTTGGACATCAGGACCGGCTTAATTAAAGGAGGGGCGGAGACGGCAGAGGACGGGGTGGAGGAGGCGGCAACTGCAGTAGTGGTTGTAGAGTTCATTTTGACATTGGCACCATCTGCCTTCACAAGGTTAGGAATTTTCTCTAAACTGACTACAGGAACCGGAACGCTGAAAAATAAATGAACAAACACACACAATTGCCTTCTTTGATACGTCTGGTCTGCTGAGGAGCCATACCTGCATATCATTATCAGAGAACACTTCCTTATCACTTATTTATACTCCTTCTATAAGCAAGCAGCATGATTCCAGTTTTGATGGGAGAGAGCTTTGTGCCTTGGAAAGGACCAACAGGGGGTGCGAGGCTGGCACAGTGCCAGGGGTGGCATCAGAGCTGACTGATTACCTCCTGCGCTGGGCTATCCCCACAGATCCTGCAACTCCCCCCTTCCCAGGCCCTAGACGTTGGCCGTCTCCGACAAAGCACCTTGGGCAGAACATGGCGCCCACTGCGAAGCCCAGGAAGACATGCCATGTGTCCCCTGAAGACAGTGTGCCACTGCTGAATCACGCCCCCTCCCCCCACTGCTCAGCCAGTCCCGAGCTGGCCGATCAGGCCTGACATCTGCTCAGCTCCGGAGCGCTGACAGGATCACACCACAAGGAGGCATGGCTTCGGGCCAGCCTGCCGCACTGCATGCTGTCGGACGGCTTCTGGATCACTCTCGTATCCTGGGGATGGGCTCAAATTGAGTGAGCCGCCATGTAGCATTATCCAATATTCCATTTTAGGCAGCTAGTTATGTAAATAGGCAATTCTCAAGGCTGGCAGGTGAGAGGATGAATTTTAAGAAGGCAGAGCACAAAGGTGTGCATTCACTCTTCAGAATCTGTCACCTTAGCCCCCTTCCCTGCTATTTCTCCTGTAACGGATGTGCATTTGATTTCTGCCGTTCTTTAATGCTGGGGGTGGGGGATGGGGTGGAGGACTCCGTCTCAGGGTCTTAAAAGATGAGATGAATAAGCTTTGCTCTGGTCCCTGAGCTGGACTCCCTTCCCTCCTGGTGGGAGCGTAGAATGTTAACACTTTGACTCCCCAGTCATCTTTGAGCTGAGAGTGGAGCCTACTTAGCTATTTGCATGCCAAATCATCTAGAATATGGCTTTTACATGCCTGCAGACAATGTAGGGCATGAAAAAGGGGCTGTTTTGGGCAGGGGAGGAATCTTATCTGTCAACATGGCTGGCTGGCTCGCCCTTCTCTAAGATTCATTCAAAATCATTTCTTTGATCAACTTGTTCTTAAAATTATTTTAGCAATCCCTCAGCCCTGCTCCTTTTATGACTTTGAAACAGGATCACAGATGTCAGTTACAGATCTTTGCCAGAGAGAAGGGCACAGAGTGGTGGAGCAGACTGTGGTGGACATCGCGGACTTCTCCCTCGGACCATGTGCCTTCTTGGCTCGGGGGAAAGCTGGTGTGGGACGGGAATGGTGGTTTTCAGTAACACACCGTGTCACTGCCAGTTCCGTCCTTGATCAGAGCGCCTCAGTCTCTGAGAGAGAGCTGAACTGCTGCTACTTTATATTTAATGGCAATTCTCAGAGCACTCACATATCGCCAAAGAACGGCAGAAGAAGCCCTTGAAGAGTCAGCACACTAAGAAGCTGTGCAGATATTACCTGGTGAAATTAGTGCTGCATTTCTGATTTTTTTCAAATGATAAAAAATGTTAAACTGGGCCAGACAAGGTGGCTCAACCCTGTAATCCTAGCACTCTGAGAGGCCGAGGCAGGAGTTTGAGACCAGCCTGAGCAAGAGCAAGACCCCGTCTCTACTAAAAATAGAAATATTAGCTGAGTGCAGTGGTGCGCACCTATAGTCCCAGCTACTCAGGAGGCTGAGGCAGGAGGATTGATGGAGCCTGGGAGTTTGAGGTTGCTGTGAGCTATGATGATGCCACTGCACTTTAGCTGGGGTAACAGAGTGAGACTGTTGTCTCAGAAAAAAAAAAAAAAACTATGTAATATATAATTCTTCCATGGCCGGCTGTGGTAGTTTACGTCTGTAATCCTAGCACCCTGGGAGGCTGAGGCAAGAGGATCGCTTGAGATCGGGAGTTCGAGACCAGCCTGAGCAAGAGCAAGACCCTGTCTCTACTAAAAATAGAAAAAATTAGCTGGGTGTGGTGGTGTGCACCTGTAGTTCCAGCTACTTGGGAGGCTGAGGCAGGAGGATTGCTTGAGCCCAGGAGTTTGAGGTTACTGTGAGCTAGGCTGACGTGATAGCACTCTAGCCTGGGCAACAGAGCAAGATTCTGTCTCAAAAAAAAAAAAGAAAAGAAAAAAAAAGAATTCTTCCAGGCTCATTCCTTCGCTCAATTAAAAAAACGGAGTCTCAAAGAGATGTTTGTACACCCATGTTCATAGCAGCATTATTTGCAATAGCCAAAAGGAAGAAGCAAACCAAGTGTCCATCAACAGACGAATAGATAAGCTAAATGAGGCACTATTCAGCTTTAAAACGGAAGGAGATTCTGACACGTGGACGAACCTTGAGGACATTATGATAAGTGAAATAAGCCAGTCATAAAAAGACAAATACTGTACAATTCCACTTACATGAGATACCCTGAGTAGTCAAATTCATAGAGACAGAAAATAGAACAGCGGTTGCCAGAGGTTGTGGGTGGGGGGGAAACGGGCAATTGTTAAATGAGTGTAGAGTTTCAGTTTTGAAAGATGAAAAACGTCTGGATATTGGTTGCACAACAATGTGAATGTACTTAACACTACTGAACTGTACATTAAAAATAGTTACAATGGTAAGTTTTATGTTATGTGTACTTTACCACATTAACTTTTTTTAAATGTACAAACTATAAGTAATGCAAATTACAAAACTCTTACAACCTAAATTATACCTCAATAAACCTGACTTTAAAAATACAGATTACAATAACCTGTTCAAAAGGCTTTTATTGATTTAATTTCTCACCCTTGTTCTGATTTGTTGACTTAGATCTTATTGCTTTAGGAAAAAAAAAATCAAATTTCAAATGTTGCTATGAACATGTGAATTACTAGCCAGGTAAGAAGGTGCTCTGGTACCTGAGCAGCCTTCTCTGATATATTTCTTTGTGAAGCTAAGTTAGTTCAAGAAAGGAAATTAGGACTTCTAAGTTCCAGATCTAGCCTTTGTTTCATGAGCTGGTACAATTGAACACAGGGCCTCTAGTTCCCATGCAAAATGCCATGGGTATATGTTGAATACTTATGACCTTGGCAGACAAAGGCATGATGCCTGGGACAGAAAAATCCAGAGCGATTGCACAAACTGAAATAAAATTTAAAACCGAGCCAAGCACTCCTCAAATGTTCACAGTACAGTGTACATTTCTCCTCAAGTCCACGGCCAGCTCCAGATGTGCTCCTCACGGCAGCCACAGGAGCACAGGTACACTAGATCCCAACAACTGGAACTGTGCCAGTTGACCCATCTCTTTGGAGACACTTCTTCCCAGCTGTGTGTGCAACTGAGCTTGAGCCAGGCCACCTGATGTGGGTGACTGATCTGGAATTTTTTCCACTACATAACGGGTATGGCCCATTTGTACCCTGCACTGTCCACGCTTTGAGAACTCGGCTGGACGCGGAATGGAGCCCACGAGAAACAGGGAAGAGAGCCTGAAGTGCAGTCCTTTGGACTGAAGAGTGGCGGGTGGTGGGGGAAAAAGCCTGACCAAGAATGTTTCAAAGATTGCAAAGGCCAGGTAAGTTGGTAAAGCGCTGAGCCACGGAGTAGAGGCCCCTGCTGCCAGGTAAGTGGGCGACATCGTGGCAGGAGGAAGAGAAGGGAGACTGAGTTCTTTGGGGTGGGAGTTCTAAGGGTGTTCATTAGCTAATGGAGAAGGGCTATAGACAGAGGGAAGGAGATGCCCGGAGCTGCCCCCGATATCTTTTTCTTTGATGTCCCTTCTCTCCCTGAAAAGCTCCCTCTCTAAGCTAACCTGCCTTTGGCCTGAACAAAGAAGCAGGCAGTTCAATGACAGTGGGAAGGGCCAAACACCTCCCCAGAGGAAGAGAGAGAGAGGAAGAGGGAGAGAGAGGCGAAAACCATTTCTACTTGACCTTGCCACCCTCCTCCCCCAGGATAAATGCAGCCATCGGTCCATCCCAGCACTGTCTCCTGTCTTCACTACCATTGGCAGCAGCCCAGAGATCCTAAACTGATATGCAAAGGAGGAAATGATCGCAAGATGGTGCCACACAATTTGGAAAACCACTCCCAGAGATCCAATCTTTTTTAAGCAAAAAGATCCAGCTGACATGAGAACCTATTAATTTCCTTCTGAATCTTCTTGTGAAAAAACAAACAAACAAACAAACAAACAAGCTCTTAAGAGCCCTGCACCCCACTTCACTTTCACACGAGTCCCCGCCTGTGCCTGTGCTCCGAGTGTGACAGTGCGGCTGCAGGGAAGCGTCACCTCGGAAAGGTCTCCCGTTTCTCCCATTGACCCTGCATATTCCCCTCACTTCCTTGCCATCACCTTCCCTGGCCAGGAAAGCCTTCCAGCCTCAGGCAGGTAAGGGCCCTTCCAGATGGCAGTGGACGCTGAATGACAGGTTTAACTTTTTTCCATTTGGAAAGCAGCCAAAAGATTCTAACCCCAGCTTTCACAGCATGGGCATCTCTCATCTTCTCTGTGTCTAATCGCCGTTGCTCAAACACCTCCAAGTGCGGTGAGGAGCTGAGAGGGGGTGGTTACTTGGCAATATCCAGATGACGGACGAAGCGATTTATTATTCTGGTTGCTTAGGTGATAAACCAGCCTGGTGGTTACCCGTGAGGTTAGCCAAAGCCCCCTACAATTCCTCCCCCTTCAGCCTCAAGGGATGAATTTACATACTTCCCAAAGTCTTGCAATTAGTTGCGTTTATCAACTAGCTCTTGCCCTTTCTTTGAGGAGCAGTGTTTGGAAGGGGAGGATGAGTCCCTGCTCTTCCCCTGCTGCTTTCATAATGCCTGTTTTGTTCACTTGGGATGAACTCTTTCAGGGAGCCCAGGACTGCAGCTTGTCCCCCGCTGTGTCTCATACACAGGGAGTAGTTATTTCCTCATTATCTCTCTTGGTCTCTATCGTGCCTCGGCCTCCATTGTGGG